GTCCCCAAGCTGGGACTGCAGCTCCAGTCCCCAAGCCGGGACTGCAGCTCCAGTCTCGAAGCTGGGACTGCAGCTCCAGTCCCGAAGCCGGGACTGCAGCTCCAGTCCCCAAGCCGGGACTGCAGCTCCAGTCCCGAAGCCGGGACTGCAGCTCCAGTCCCCAAGCCGGGACAGCAGCTCCAGTCCCGAAGCCGGGACTGCAGCTCCAGTCCCCAAGCCGCGACTGCAGCTCCAGTCCCCAAGCCGGGACTGCAGCTCCAGTCCCCAAGCCGGGACTGCAGCTCCAGTCCCCAAGCCGGGACTGCAGCTCCAGTCCCCAAGCCGGGACTGCAGCTCCAGTCCCCAAGCCGGGACTGCAGCTCCAGTCCCCAAGCCGGGACTGCAGCTCCAGTCCCCAAGCCGGGACTGCAGCTCCAGTCCCCAAGCCGGGACTGCAGCTCCAGTCCCCAAGCCGGGACTGCAGCTCCAGTCCCCAAGCCGGGACTGCAGCTCCAGTCCCCAAGCCGGGACTGCAGCTCCAGTCCCCAAGCCGGGACTGCAGCTCCAGTCCCGAAGCCGGGACTGCAGCTCCAGTCCCCAAGCCGGGACTGCAGCTCCAGTCCCCAAGCCGGGACTGCAGCTCCAGTCCCCAAGCCGGGACTGCAGCTCCAGTCCCCAAGCCGGGACTGCAGCTCCAGTCCCCGAAGCCGGGACTGCAGCTCCAGTCCCGAAGCCGGGACTGCAGCTCCAGTCTCCGAAGCCGGGACTGCAGCTCCAGTCTCCGAAGCCGGGACTGCAGCTCAAGTCCCCAAGCAGGGACTGCAGCTCCAGTCCCGAAGCGGGGACTGCAGCTCCAGTCCCCAAGCGGGGACTGCAGCTCCAGTCCCCGAAGCCGGGACTGCAGCTCCAGTCCCCAAGCCGGGACTGCAGCTCCAGTCTCCGAAGCCGGGACTGTAGCTCAAGTCCCCAAGCCGGGACTGCAGCTCCAGTCCCGAAGCTGGGACTGCAGCTCCAGTCCCCAAGCTGGGACTGCAGCTCCAGTCCCCAAGCCGGGACTGCAGCTCCAGTCCCGAAGCCGGGACTGCAGCTCCAGTCCCCAAGCCGGGACAGCAGCTCCAGTCCCGAAGCCGGGACTGCAGCTCCAGTCCCCAAGCCGGGACTGCAGCTCCAGTCCCCAAGCCGGGACTGCAGCTCCAGTCCCCAAGCCGGGACTGCAGCTCCAGTCCCCAAGCCGGGACTGCAGCTCCAGTCCCCAAGCCGGGACTGCAGCTCCAGTCCCCAAGCCGGGACTGCAGCTCCAGTCCCCAAGCCGGGACTGCAGCTCCAGTCCCCAAGCCGGGACTGCAGCTCCAGTCCCCAAGCCGGGACTGCAGCTCCAGTCCCGAAGCCGGGACTGCAGCTCCAGTCCCCAAGCCGGGACTGCAGCTCCAGTCCCCAAGCCGGGACTGCAGCTCCAGTCCCCAAGCCGGGACTGCAGCTCCAGTCCCCAAGCCGGGACTGCAGCTCCAGTCCCCGAAGCCGGGACTGCAGCTCCAGTCCCGAAGCCGGGACTGCAGCTCCAGTCTCCGAAGCCGGGACTGCAGCTCCAGTCCCGAAGCCGGGACTGCAGCTCCAGTCTCCGAAGCTGGGACTGCAGCTCCAGTCCCCAAGCCGGGACTGCAGCTCCAGTCCCGAAGCTGGGACTGCAGCTCCAGTCCCCAAGCTGGGACTGCAGCTCCAGTCCCCAAGCCGGGACTGCAGCTCCAGTCCCGAAGCCGGGACTGCAGCTCCAGTCCCCAAGCTGGGAGTGCAGCTCCAGTCCCCAAGCCGGGAGTGCAGCTCCAGTCCCCGAAGCCGGGACTGCAGCTCCAGTCCCCGAAGCCGGGACTGCAGCTCCAGTCCCCAAGCGGGGACTGCAGCTCCAGTCCCCGAAGCCGGGACTGCAGCTCCAGTCCCCAAGCCGGGACTGCAGCTCCAGTCTCCGAAGCCGGGACTGTAGCTCAAGTCCCCAAGCCGGGACTGCAGCTCCAGTCCCGAAGCTGGGACTGCAGCTCCAGTCCCCAAGCTGGGACTGCAGCTCCAGTCCCCAAGCCGGGACTGCAGCTCCAGTCTCGAAGCTGGGACTGCAGCTCCAGTCCCCAAGCCGGGACTGCAGCTCCAGTCCCCAAGCCGGGACTGCAGCTCCAGTCCCCAAGCCGGGACTGCAGCTCCAGTCCCGAAGCCGGGACTGCAGCTCCAGTCCCCAAGCCGGGACTGCAGCTCCAGTCCCCAAGCCGGGACTGCAGCTCCAGTCCCGAAGCCGGGACTGCAGCTCCAGTCCCCAAGCCGGGACTGCAGCTCCAGTCCCCAAGCCGGGACTGCAGCTCCAGTCCCCAAGCCGGGACTGCAGCTCCAGTCCCCAAGCCGGGACTGCAGCTCCAGTCCCCAAGCCGCGACTGCAGCTCCAGTCCCCAAGCCGCGACTGCAGCTCCAGTCCCGAAGCCGGGACTGCAGCTCCAGTCCCGAAGCCGGGACTGCAGCTCCAGTCCCGAAGCCGGGACTGCAGCTCCAGTCCCCAAGCCGGGACAGCAGCTCCAGTCCCCAAGCCGCGACTGCAGCTCCAGTCCCCAAGCCGCGACTGCAGCTCCAGTCCCCAAGCCGGGACTGCAGCTCCAGTCCCCAAGCCGGGACTGCAGCTCCAGTCCCGAAGCCGGGACTGCAGCTCCAGTCCCCAAGCCGGGACTGCAGCTCCAGTCCCGAAGCCGGGACTGCAGCTCCAGTCCCCAAGCCGGGACTGCAGCTCCAGTCCCCAAGCCGGGACTGCAGCTCCAGTCCCCAAGCCGGGACTGCAGCTCCAGTCCCCAAGCCGGGACTGCAGCTCCAGTCCCCAAGCCGGGACTGCAGCTCCAGTCCCCAAGCCGGGACTGCAGCTCCAGTCCCCAAGCCGGGACTGCAGCTCCAGTCCCCAAGCCGGGACTGCAGCTCCAGTCCCGAAGCCGGGACTGCAGCTCCAGTCCCGAAGCCGGGACTGCAGCTCCTGTCCCGAAGCCGGGACTGCAGCTCCAGTCCCCAAGCCGGGACTGCAGCTCCAGTCCCCAAGCCGGGACTGCAGCTCCAGTCCCCAAGCCGGGACTGCAGCTCCAGTCCCCAAGCCGGGACTGCAGCTCCAGTCCCCAAGCCGGGACTGCAGCTCCAGTCCCCAAGCCGGGACTGCAGCTCCAGTCCCCAAGCCGGGACTGCAGCTCCAGTCCCCAAGCCGGGACTGCAGCTCCAGTCCCCAAGCCGGGACTGCAGCTCCAGTCCCCGAAGCCGGGACTGCAGCTCCAGTCCCGAAGCCGGGACTGCAGCTCCAGTCTCCGAAGCCGGGACTGCAGCTCCAGTCCCGAAGCCGGGACTGCAGCTGCAGTCTCCGAAGCGGGGACTGCAGCTCCAGTCCCCAAGCCGGGACTGCAGCTCCAGTCCCCAAGCTGGGACTGCAGCTCCAGTCCCCAAGCGGGGACTGCAGCTCCAGTCCCCAAGCCGGGACTGCAGCTCCAGTCCCGAAGCCGGGACTGCAGCTCCAGTCCCCAAGCCGGGACTGCAGCTCCAGTCCCGAAGCCGGGACTGCAGCTCCAGTCCCCAAGCCGGGACTGCAGCTCCAGTCCCGAAGCTGGGACTGCAGCTCCAGTCCCCAAGCCGGGACTGCAGCTCCAGTCCCCAAGCCGGGACTGCAGCTCCAGTCCCCGAAGCCGGGACTGCAGCTCCAGTCCCCGAAGCCGGGACTGCAGCTCCAGTCCCCAAGCCGGGACTGCAGCTCCAGTCCCCAAGCCGGGACTGCAGCTCCAGTCCCCAAGCCGGGACTGCAGCTCCAGTCCCCAAGCTGGGACTGCAGCTCCAGTCCCCAAGCCGGGACTGCAGCTCCAGTCCCCAAGCCGGGACTGCAGCTCCAGTCCCCAAGCCGGGACTGCAGCTCCAGTCCCGAAGCTGGGACTGCAGCTCCAGTCCCCAAGCTGGGAGTGCAGCTCCAGTCCCCAAGCCGGGACTGCAGCTCCAGTCCCGAAGCCGGGACTGCAGCTCCAGTCCCGAAGCCGGGACTGCAGCTCAAGTCCCCAAGCCGGGACTGCAGCTCCAGTCCCGAAGCTGGGACTGCAGCTCCAGTCCCCAAGCTGGGACTGCAGCTCCAGTCCCCAAGCCGGGACTGCAGCTCCAGTCCCGAAGCCGGGACTGCAGCTCCAGTCCCCAAGCCGGGACTGCAGCTCCAGTCCCCAAGCCGGGACTGCAGCTCCAGTCCCCAAGCCGAAGCGTGGTGCAGCATACGAGCGGGCGGTGTAGCGTGCGGGCGTGTGGTGCAGCATACGAGCGGGCGGTGTAGCGTGCGGGCGTGTGGTGCAGCGTATGTGCGTGCCATGCTCTGTGCTGTGCCATGCTCTGTGCTGTGCCATGCTCTGTGCTGTGCCATGCTCTGTGCTGTGTCATGCTCTGTGCTGTGTCATGCTCTGTGATGTGCCATGCTCTGTGATGTGCCATGCTCTGTTCTGTGCCATGCTCTGTTCTGTGTGTTTTGTATTAGTAGCGCGCGTGTGGCATAGTGTGACTCGTGACTCACGAGTCGTGAGTGAGACTACCATACATTAGTTGTGGAGGTGTGATACCGTAGTATGCTGTGACATGGTGTGGGATATCATATGTTACCGTACAAGATTTCTTTACTGTTCTATGCAGCTTGCAAGGCTTTCATGATCAGCAGCATGGTACCACGGAATCAGAACCTTCCGTACAGAGGAACGTTTTTTCAAACCAGAAATGGTTAATATCAGGAAATACGCTACGGAGTCACCACTCCAACCTCCCCACATCTAACCCTGTCTGTTCCCGCACTCCAGTTATATCAGTAGTACCTACTTCTGTCAGTGCCCGCCCGCCACTACCAGTACTTGCAATGCGCACTGCGCTGCGCACTCAAGAAACTCCTACCAGTACACAATAGGAGGAATCTGTACACAACCTGCAAAATTGCTTCCTCACACGATGCACCCATTCACCCTCCACCCACCCAGCCATCCACACACCACATCACCCATCCATCACCGCGCCACACGCCACACCCCCACGCCCATCATGGGCTGCCCTTTCCACGTCAGCAGCAGACTCCCCTCATCATCCTCCACGCCAAATTCTGCAGGATACCGTGCCATCACCGTCTCCACCTGCACGCGCGGCCGCGCCGGGTACGGCACGGCTGCAAACCCTGCCTCGCCCATGCGCCAGTTCCACTTCCCCAGCGGCTCCGATCGCACCACCCGCAGCGCCCCCTCACACGCTATCACGTTCACAAGGTCTCGCCCTATCACCACCTGCTCGAAGACATCTCGTGATGCCTGCACGCGCGGGACGAGGCCGGCTTCAAGGGATTCAAACACGGAGAGGTACCAGGGGAGGGCGTCGGCCATGCGGCGCAGGAAGAAGGGCCCGTCGTGGTCCACGTGTCTCTCTCCCAGCACCACTGCGTGCGGGTTCAGCCTGCGGATGGCTCGCAGAGCAGCGTCGCGCGGGGAGTGCCGCACCACGGACCCGCTGGGCAGCGTGTGCAAGCGCATGATGCCATTCACCACCAGCACCTCGTCCCCTGCCCCCCTCCCCGCTTCCACCGCCGATAACACCTGCCTCGCGTCCGCCGCTCCGGCTATCGGCAGTGTGGCGGACGAGTGGCGCTGGTGCTTGTGCGGCCGGTGCGCGGTGCCCGACTGGTTGCTGCACGTGCCGTCCCCGCCTCCCCCCCCGCCGCCGCCGCTGCCGCTGCTGTTGCCGCTGCTGCTGCTGAGGCACCTGGCGGCAGCGGCGGGGGAGAGGGGGTCGAGGCCGAGAACACGACGGTCGAGGCGATCCAATGAACACTCGACAGCTTGGAAGACCAGGCGGATGCCCGCTGCTGCTGCTGCCTGCTCCAGCATGTCCTGGCAGTGGTCAGTGGGCAGCTGGGAAAAGTTTCGCTCCGGGCACATGGAGGGCGGGGTGTCCACCTGGGAGCAAGCGAGAAGAGAGAGGGGAGAGAAAAGGTTATGATTTGGATTCTGCACATTGGGATGTTTAAGAGACGGCATGCATGCAGGGGCGAGGGGTATCCAGGTATGAAGTCACAGAGCAGAGGGGAAGAGGGCATTGAGGACAGACAGAGCAGCGCGCATTGAGCAGTGATGACAACCTTGGTGAACTTGAGAAGGGGCTTGGGGCCGGGAAGAGTCCCTAGCGCGGCAATGAAGCCGGGCCACTGTCCGGCGAACCACCAGCCGATGTCCACCACGTGCACGACAGGGTGGTGGCGCACTGCCTCCACTATGGCCGCATTGCACGCCATGACCATGAAGCGATGGTGCGGCATCACGAATGACAGGTCCGCCATCTTGCTCAACACGTCCTGGGAGGTAGGGAGGGAGGGAGGGAGGGAGGGAGAGGGCGAGGTAGAGGCAGATGGGGAGGGGGGGGACGGGGGGTGGAGAGGTGACGGAAAGAGGGCGAATGAAAGGGGAGGAAATGGAACGAAGGTGGTTGTTTGTGATTGGTGCAATACACGTTGTGGGAGAGACACTCGCCCTTGAACCCCAAACCCCAAGTATGAGCAAGCAACCGCGTGCATACAGCCAACCACCACACCACTGAGCTCACTCAGAGACCTCACAGACAGACCGAGAGTGAGAGTGCGGTTTGGCGTCATCATGGCTACCACCCGTGCCCGAGGTCCATGGCTACCACCCGTGCCCGAGGTCCATGGCTACCACCCGTGCCCGAGGTCCATGGCTACCACCCGTGCCCGAGGTCCATGGCTACCACCCGTGCCCGAGGTCCATGGCTACCACCCGTGCCCGAGGTCCATGGCTACCACCCGTGCCCGAGGTCCATGGCTACCACCCGTGCCCGAGGTCCATGGCTACCACCCGTGCCTGAGGTCCATGGCTACCACCCGCCCACACAGCCGCACCACCTGAGAGTAGTTCCTGTCTTTTGGCACCTGCGCCGTAAAGAAACCGCGTGTGCGCTGTGCCGCACGCACGCACGCTGTGCCGCACGCACGCACGCACGCACGCACGCACCTTGCTGACGGAGAGGGCAGTGTTGGTGTTCCAGCGCTTGGCACCGTCACCCATGACACGCGCAATGAGCCCCTCTAGCAAATAATGCACCAGGCGCTGCTTTTGAGACGCCTCAAAAGTCACTCACTCACAGACGTACCTCGCTGACAGATAGCGCAGTGTTGGTGTTCCAGCGCTTGGCTCCGTCCCCCATGACGCGGGCTATGAGCCCCTCCAACACGTAATGCACCAGGCGCTGCTCCGGTGCCCCCCGCCTGTCCGCATGCAGCCGAAGCTCCTCCGCCAGACTCCATATGCGCGTCTGAGAGACAGACACAAGGCGCCCGGAGGGAGGGAGGGGGGGGGGGGGGGAAGGGGAGAGACAAGGGAGCGAAAGGAATTCTGATTCAAAGAGCGCTCCCCGCCTGTCCGCGTGCCGGTGGGGAGAAGAGTGCGGAGGGTGGAAGGGGGTTTGACCGGGGAGGTGAGAGGGTGGGGAGAGGAGGAGGTGAGGGAGAAGCGGAGCTGTTGATAAAAGAAGAGAAATGTGATGCTGGATGCTCGTATCCCTTGGCTGGCAAGGCAGCATACTGCCTGCATCGTCCAGGCATCCCACCCTTTGCCCTCCCGCTCGCCTACCCCCATGCCTGTCACCGCATCCACGCACCCACCCACCCACCCACCCACCCACCCACCAACCATCAGACCCGTCCACGCACCCACGCACGCACCTCATCCTCGCCAGTGGCCACGGCCTCGCCGAGAATGAGCAGTCGCTCCATCACAGGGTGGCTCAGAGGCGCCCTGCCCACACTGCCACCGCTGCCGCCACTACCACCACTGCCAGTGCTGCCGCCCGCTCTTGCTCGCACCCGCCCCCCTGCTCCCCGAAACTGCACCACCTGCTGCCGGATCTCTTCTCTCTCCTCCTCCTCGCCCCGCCTCTCCTGCTCCTGCTGCTGCTCCCGCTGCTGATGCTGCACATTTTGCTGCTGTGGTTGTTGCTGCTGCTGTTGCTGCTGCAGTCGCTGCTGCAACTGCTCCTGAAGGGGAAGAGAAGAACCACGGGTGTGCCACCCACTACCCTGTAACCGCACCGCATCCCTCTCAACCCCTCCTCCGCTCCCCCCATAGCCACTTCCTCTATGCTCCGCCTCTCCCCCACCCCCACCTGCACGCGCCATGCCTGCGCCCTCCTGCATTGCTCCATGCGCCCTCCTGTCCACGGCACCACCAGTGCCTAGCTTCCAGAAGTCAAGAGCCACCCCTCCACCTACTGACCCTCCCTGCATTGCGCCCATGGCTCCGCCCATGCTTCCCCCAATGGTTCCGCGCATGGATGCGCCCAGGGCTGCGCCCAGCTCCCCGCCGCTCACAGCCGCAGCTGCAGCCCCCATCGGCGCTTCCCTGGGAGCAGGCGCAGCTGCACCCCATGGCAAATCCCGCCTTGCCACCGCCCCCTCTGCACCCACCAGTCCCGGACCCTGCCCGGCAGATGATACCTGCCCGCCTAGTCCTAGCATGCCTAGACCCAGCCCGTCTAATCCCAGCCCAGCACTCATGACAGGCGCTGTGACTGAGACCGGAGGAGAGCCCGCAGGGGAGGAGGAGAAAGCAAACCCGGTGGGTGCACCGTTGGCACCACCCATCCACGCACTGCGCGCTGAGCCCATCCACATACCCACTGCACCTGCACCATCAGTGCCGGCACTGCCGCCAGCAACGCCAGCAACGCCAGCACCGCCAGTAAGGCCATTACCGCCAATACCGGCAGCACCAGCGCTGCTGCAAGCACCAGAGGAGGCTCCTCCCGGCTCGAAGCCGATGCCAAGGCGGAAGGCGGGGGAGTGGTTCGCTGCACCGCTGCGTGCCGCATGCCCTGTAAACAACAGGCCTGGGCCTGCCACAGGCGACGATGACCCCTGCCGAAACACACCAGGGTTCTGCTGCTGCGGGAATGGGTTGAAAACTCCAGACATGGTCGTGAGCCGTTGGAGTGGAGAGGGGCCGTGAAGGCTGGTGATTCTGTCAAATGTGGCAGCCATTTCCTTTTGCTTATACGATTCCACTGCCTCTATCCACTCCCTCTTCCGCCCTATCGTTGCCATCTCCCTTGCCAGCTCCCTCTCGCGCTCCATTTCCCTCTCCCGCTCCCTCTCCCTCTCCTTCTCTCGTTCCCGCTCTCTCTGCCTCTCCCGCTCCCGTTCCCTCTCGCGTTCTCTCTCCTTCTCGCGCTCCCGTCGTTCCCTCTCCTGCCTTTCCCGTTCTCGTTTCCGCTCCCGCTCTTGCTCCTCCAGCCTCTCATCATACTCCTCACCAAGGGCCGCTGCCAGCCTGCGCGCCAGTGACCGTTCTGCCTTTTTCGCCGCTGGTGCCGCTGCTTCTGCTGCTGCTTCTGCCGCTGCTGCTCGAGCTGCTGGTGCGGCTGCTGCTCCTTGGCCTATGATCACGTCTTTTATTTCTGCATCGCTTAGTGCGCCATCGGGCGCAAGACCAGGAGCCTGCGCACCTGCAACCGCTGATGGCACCGGCACCACTGGACAAGGCGACGCTGCTTCTGTCGTCGCACCCATTGCCGTCCTTACACCTGTTTCCATCTCTGCTGCTTCCACCACCTCTGCTCCTCCTGCTGCTCCTGCTCCAGGTGTACCCGGTGCCTCTTCTCCGCTCCTATCACCACCACCCTCCGCAAGATCCGCTCTGCTCACCCCACACGCACCTCCACCCGCCCCCGCACCGGCACCCGCACCCGCCCCTGACGCCCTAGTCGCGTTGCCGCTTAGTGCAGGCACCCCGTCCAATTCGTCTTCCCCGCCTAACCCTAGCTGCGCCAACGCCCCCGCCGCTCCCCCGGTCGGCGCTTCTCTCCCCGCGCCATGCAGCCACCATTCCCCCTCCCCAGCGGCAATGGCGGAGTCGAGCCACGCGGCAGCGGCGGCGGCGGCGGCGGGGGTACTGCCCTCAGGACACCCCCAAGGCCGGCTGCCCACCGTTGAAAGCGGAGGGCTGCTGCCGAAGCCCGCGGGTTGAACGGCGGGGAGCAAGGCACCATTGGAGGCGGTCCCGCCGGCGGCGGCGACGGCAGGGAGGCCGTCGGTACCGGTCACGGTGACGGCGACAGGTGCTTCATCGGTTAAGAGGGATGCAAAGGGCTCGTCCCAGAAGCCAATGGGATCCCACTGCCATGCGGACGACGCTGGCGCGAGAGGGACCTGCATGTGAGGGAGTGAGAGAGGGAGAGGGAAAGGGGGAGACAAGAGAGAGAGAGGAGAGAGGGAGAGGGAGGGAGAGAGAGAGAGAGAGAAAAAAGAAAGAGTGAGAGTGAGTGATAAAGAGAGAGGGAGAGTTGAAGTTATGGCATGAAAGGGATTGGTAGGATGTTGCGTGTAGCTAAGCCTCTATTGCCTTGCGTGTACCAGTGAAGACAGTCTCGCATACTTCAGAAGTATAGACCGGCAGCTGATAAGGGTGTATCGCAAGTAGGTCAAGAAAGGGATTACGACGGATGACGACAGCTCAAACACAGTAGATGTACTAATTTCCATTGCAGCCGCGGCGCTACACAGTGTGAAGTCTTGCCTGAATCGTCCTTTTTTGGCGCCCGTCAACTACATTTCATGTACAATAAATCGCCATTCACCTGCTGCTGCTGCTGCTGCTGCTGCTGCTGCTGCTGCTGCTGCTGCTGCTGCTGCTGCTGCTGCTGCTGCTGCTGCTGCTGCTGCTGCTGCTGCTGCTGCTGCTGCTGCTGCTGCTGCTGCTGCTGCTGCTGCTGCTGCTGCTGCTGCTGCTGCTGCTGCTGCTGCTGCTGCTGCTGCTGCTGCTGCTGCTGCTGCTGCTGCTGCTGCTGCTGCTGCTGCTGCTGCTGCTGCTGCTGCTGCTGCTGCTGCTGCTGCTGCTGCTGTTGCGATTGTGGCTGCTGCTGACCCCGCGACATGTCCATTCAGCAAGTTAGAACGATGCTAGTTCAACAGATGTTAGGTCTACAATCCTGAAACGCCTAATAACGGATTTGACGAGAGCAACCCACAAAATGCTCAAGGGCTATCACAAGACTCTCTTGCTTCTCAGTCTCGAAGACCACTCTCGGGATCAACGCTCTGGGGGGGGGAAACCAACGGTACAAGCGTGGAACCCTTTGCTGACTGCTACTGTACAGTGAAACAAGCATCCTTCGCCTCCTGCTGGAGCAAAGCCCGCCTAGACGTAGAATGAAACACTTGCTGCTGGTGATACAGAACCGTGCAGAGGACAGTGTGGTGTGAGTGGTCCTTTTTGAACGAGGGAGGAATGTGACGGATAAAGGCGGCGAGGTTGATTTCGGTTCGTGTAGTGGTGGTAACTTATAAGGGCAGGTGATATTCGTATGATAAACTTTGTGGGGTTGAAATCGGTGGGCAATGGTCTAAATCGCTGAAAACCTATCATAGTTTCCGACCGTGCTATACCGTTTTGGAACGCGTTAAACGAACATCAGGCGAATAATCCAAGATCCAGGATCTGCCCTTAGCGAGCAGTAGTCTGCCACCACTCATGAGCCACCGCTGCACGTCCTCACGAGCTCGTTCATTTGATGCGCTGGACACCAGTCACTGCCCGCATGCGACAGCTAGCCAGCATGGACTGTGGGACGCATCCATCACAAGGCGGCAGTTTGAGGGGCAGCAGCAGAAAGAATGGAAGCCACCATTTTGCGCAAGTGATGTAAGGACGCGTTGAAACTGAGAATATCGCAGGATCGCACGTGTATATCGATCCGCAGAATCGATTGGGCGGATCGTTTGGCGAAACGATGCGCCCACGCGGTTGTAACGATCGCCCCTGCGTGATGGGTTGGATGTTACAGAATCAAGATTTCGGTTTTGCCTGCGACACCGTCTAAGAAAAACCCCCTTCGCCCAACTACACCTGAGATATTCGCAACCAACAGGGAAACCAGCTTGAAATTTCGCGAAATGCCAGAATTATGCCCGTCTACATTATCGCTATGCGAAATTTCAGCACTTCGCAGGCATCAGCATCAATCGTGCCTGTTGTGATCGGTTTGTGCACATCATCTGCGCATTGATGCTGCGGAAAGTTCTACAGCGATCAGTGATCAGTCGCATTCACTTACTGTGCACAAAAATTGGACAAAAACCTTAATGTAGTATGGTTACACAGTAAAACACAGGGTAGCTAATCCGCATACCGATCGCAACTGATGATCGGTCGTCTACTTTCAACGCGTCCTAAACACGTCTGCACTGTTGTTTCAACAATCTGACAGAGGGAGGGACCAAGGAAACGCAACCTGGGTATTACGAGCTTCCATGAATATGTTTACATACGGTATGAATCATCACAAAATGGAAGACGTGATCATATCTATTAGCGAAGTGCTCCATAACATTCTAAATGAAGGATGCTGTTTTGGCGGGGGAAGTCTGCAACCTTGCCTCGTTGTTCTGACGCAGGTTTTCTGATTGGTCGAGCGAGGGGTCACAACCCCCAGCACAGGCGGAGCTTGCTCTGAAGATTTTTATGGGCAGGAAGGAAAATCGTCTCAATACCGAACACGCTGCAGCCAATCGCCGTTGAGTTGGATGCCAACTATTGGGTGCCTGAGACGAAAGCGATGTTCCCTTTGCTGCCCCCCCCGAGCCGTGCACAATACCAAATCGTCTCGGTCGGCTCGGAAAACCATCAGGGTGTTGGTCATTCAAGCTCACCCTCTCCCTCACCCAAGTGTGCTGCTCTTTCTCTCTGCTCCGCTCCAGCCCAGTCGTCTTCTGCACTCGTGTTTTGACTGATCCAGGATCCTCCTCGTGCGGAACGGTCTTCACTTCACTTGCTTTGTGCACACAACCGTCTCCGTCTCTGTAGTCACGTTTCATCGGTTGTTACTCGCTGTCAGTTGCTAGTTCACCTTGTGCAATTCAAGGGTGAGTTCTGTCAGTCCGCTCGACAACATATCTTGGTTTTTTACCGTAAAAACCCCAATTGGGCTGATAAGACTCGATCAGCTATCATGGTATCTACAGACGCGTAACTGAGTGTCTAGATCCGGCCTTTTGTTCTTGATTTTTTTTCCTCCTTCCTACCTCCCTCTGTCAGTCCGCTTTTTGTACTGATCTTCCTGAATTCCGCCAGAGGCCCAGCAATTGTAACCCTCCATGGATTTCTCTGCGGCAATTGTCAGGTCATGGTAACCCTTCTTCAAGTTCCCCAGCTTCCCGTCGCGAAATCTTACTCTCTGCCGACATGGAGTTTGCAATAGCCGGCGACACCGCAATCAGTCCGGCCTTCAGACTAGGTGCTTGCACAATTGCGACGACGTTGGACCGTTCCACGCCGAGGAGGTTGTCTGGTGGCCTTGCTCGCTCTCAGCACGTCAACTCGTTTCGTCTCTCCGTACCTTCATCTCCTTCAAGACGTGGCTATCGCCGTGTAAGCTCCGTGTCGGTTCCGCGTAGGCGTGAAGTCAGGGATCCCGGGGAGTTGCCGCATGGAGATGGCACCCGTGCCGTCGTTCTAGCGAAGGCTGTGCGGAAATCCGGGTGGGATAGGTTCCACAGCGTGAGCGTGACACCCGCAGCATGGCGAAAGCTGGAGTCCCGGCGATTGGTTCGACTCGGGAGTCCAGACAACACGGGGGTTAGATCCCGGCAATTTTTAAGCCCATTCCGAAAGGTTCGAGCCAGCGGCTTCCACGGAGGATCAGGCGAAAGCACCAGTGGAGGTTCGGACGATGAATTGGCGTTTGATGAGAGGGTTGCAATTGGCGGCACTGACGGGAACCAAGTAGCGGCCAATTGGGCCACCAACACTCGCAGAGGCGGCGGCAGCAGCATGTCTGAAAGCGGCGGGGGACGTATAGAGTCAAAACACTCGAATGGGAGTTTTTTTGGAAAAGAGTCGCAAGGCGCGACAGCCGAGAGCAGCGCCAACGACTGGACGGCTGCCGCACATGCAGCCGCGGAAGCACCTGAGGTGGAGTGGAAGGACAAGGACAGTAAAGCGTCGCGACCGCCTGCTGGAGTTGCGAGAGGCGCGGGAGAAGCACGGGTGGAAGATCTGGATTCAGATGGTTCTAGAGCACGCCATGCGGCGCATGGGGAGGTGGGAAGCGGCGCAGAGTGGCTAGGAAGTGTGGAAGGAGTGGTTAGCGCGGCGGAGGTGAACGCGATGGATGGAGCAGGCTTTGAAGATGCGAGCACCCTGACGCTGGAAGCCAATGCGTGGGAGGGGGGTGCTCTGGGCGGAACGGAAGAGAAGCAGCCATGGGCTGCAGAGGGCGAGTTCGATGATAACATGGAATTGGAATTGCCTGGGGATGGGGATGGGGAAGGGGACGGAGAGGCAGAAGGCAGTCGTATGGACACAGCAGGAGCGGGGGGAGAGTTTGGCGGCGGGGAGGAGGGGGCTCGCTGGGGAGCTGCGGGGTCGTTTCCGGGCGCGGGGATAGCGGCGCGGGTGATGGAGGTGGAGTGGGAGGACGTGGCGCGCAAAGCAGTGCGGCGCGCCGTGCTGCTGTTCGTCATTGCGCGCCACTTCGTCGCGTTCATGCTCGCGTCCGTCGCCGCGCTGCCCGGGCAACTGCGACGAGCCTGGTGGCCGCATGACGCGCCTGCGGGGGCGCAGGCAGCGGGAGCGAGCGGGGCAAGAGGCAGTGGAGCTCTGGGTGGTGATGGTAGTGATGGTGGTGATGGTGGAAGGGCGGATTTGCATGGGTGGGACTTGGATGTCCGCGCTGGTGTGGGGGAGGTTGGTACTAGTGGAACTAGCGCCAGCAGACGCAGGAGCAGGGGCAGCAGCAGGAGGAGCAGGAGTGGCAGGGTTACCGAGGGGGTGCACGTCGGCTCTCAACAATCCCATGGCACAAGCATGCCTTCACCAGCGGTCACCTCTGGCTCTGACGATGGACGGATTCCGGTCAGCTCAGAGGGTCCTGCTCGTACAGGCACCATCGACCACAGTCACTCTCATGCATCCCCAGCTGTTTCTGATTCCCAGGGCCGATTTCCGTTGCCGGAAAATCGTGTTTCTGTTGGAGAGCCCGCCTCTTCCTCGTCTTCCTCTGCTCGCGGTAATTCCGCTGCTAGCCCCTTGTCGCGCCCTGAAGGTCCCGCCTCTCCACCTTCTCGACTTCCACAGATGGCGGCAGCGGCAGCACCCGCGGCAGCAGCAGAGCCGGCGAGGGAGGCTCCCTCGCATTCAGGAAATGTACCATCCGGTGTGGGTGGAGGTGAGAGGAGTGGCCAGGAGACGCTGAATGGTACGGCAAGGGGAAGAGCAGTAGGAGCAGCAGCAATACCTGCTGCTGCTGCAGCAGGAAGTGGAGCAGAAGGAGGTGGTGGTGAGAGTGAGGCGGATAAGGTGTTCGCAGCAGCAGAGGCGGAGGGGAAGAGTCCGCAGCAGCTGTTTTCAAGAGAAGCAAGGGTGGGGAAAGACGTGCCTGGTGGTGGTGAGAGCAGCACCATCGCTGGCGGAGAGGCTGAAGACTCATCGAAAGAGGGGGGGAAGGGGTCAGCAGGGATGGGGTCTGGCGCCCCAGCAGGTGCATCAGCAGACGGCGCAGCAGATGCAGCCGAAGCCGCAGCTGCAGCAGCCGCAGCAGCAGGAGAGAAGAGGCGCGCGGGGGGCAAGGGGAGGCCAAAGCGAGCAGGAGCAGGAGCGGGCGCGGGAGCGGGAGCAGGAGGGCGTGTGGAGGAGGACGATCCATGGGACGTGGTGAAGCGGTTTTGGAGCCAGCCGGCGGTGGTGAAGCTGCGCATGTCCATCACCATGGCCAACCTCACCATGGGCCTCCCCACCTTCCTCGCTCACGTACTGCCCTCGCTGCGCCATGTAGGGGGCGGGGGGTAGGGGGGTGTGGGGGAGCGATGGGGCATGGGGTGTGTAGGGGAGGCAGGGGATGTTGCGGGACTTGCTGCAGCTTGCTGCAACTTATTGTCGTGGTCTCCTCCTCCCCTCAACTCTCTCTTGTACTCTTCCCTCTCTCGCTCTCACAACTCCCACTGCTACCCATTTTGTCTGCTCTCGCTTCCTCTCACCACTCCCACTGCCGCTGCGGTCCACATGTGTGCAATCTATCTCCCCCTGGCAGGTGCGGTGGCACATGGTGCCGTTGCTGCACGACCTGTCGCTGCCCATGCTGGCGCCCATTCTCTTTGGCTCGGGCATTGTCTTCAAGTCCGTGGTCAACAACCTCGGCATCGTGCTGCCCCGCCTCGGGTACCTCCCCTGCCTCTGCCCTCCCTCCCTGCCCATCCGTTGCCACCTCGTTCGCATGCCCCCTCGTCCATGCCCCCTCGTCCATGCCCCCTCGTCCATGCCCCCTCGTCCATGCCACCTCGTTTGCATTGGTCTGCCGGCCATGGCCCTACCCACACACGCCTTCTGAATCCCTTCGTTCCTCCCCTGCTTCTCCTTTCTGTGTGGGTGTGCATGTGCGTGCATGTGTGCATGTATGGGTGCGTGTGGATGTGGACATGCCTCTATGGTTCCATGCATGTGTACATACGTGTGTGCTTGTATGCATGTGTGCTTGCATGCATGTGTGCTTGCATGCATGTGTGTGCATGCATGTGTGCTTGCATGCATGTGTGTGCATGCATGTGTGTGCATGCATGTGTGCTTGCATGCATGTGTGTGCATGCATGTGTGTGCATGCATGTGTGCTTGCATGCATGTGTGCTTGCATGCATGTGTGTGCATGCATGTGTGCTTGCATGCATGTGTGCTTGCATGCATGTGTGTGCATGCATGTGTGCTTGCATGCATGTGTGCTTGCATGCATGTGTGTGCATGCATGTGTGCTTGCATGCATGTGTGCTTGCATGCATGTGTGTGCATGCATGTGTGTGCATGCATGTGTGTGCGTGTATGCATGGTTCCATCTCTGGCAGCATAGCGGTGGTGCTGCTGTGGGTGCTGTGGGGGTGCAACTGTGTGCTGCAGCGCGCCATCACCAAGACAGCGGAGCGACGCCTAGTGGACCGCAACGTCAAGGACGTGCTAGTGCTGGCTGTCGAGTGAGTGCCCTGCCATCCAGTGTCTTGGCTTCTGAGGTGCCTCAAATGTCGACGCCTAGTGGATCGCAACGTCAAGGACGTGTTAGTGCTCGCCGTCGAGTGAGTGTGCCCTGCCCAGGGGCCCTCTCTCTCAGCTCAACCCCACAGCAGCGGCTGGTTAAGACAGAGGGCGTTCATGTGCTCCTGGCCTCCTCACCTCCGCTTCTGCTTCATCCAGGGTGGTTCAGTTCAGTTCAGTTCAGTTCAGTCCAGTTCAGTCCAGTTCAGTCTAAGTGCCTCTCCCATTGCCCACCGGGTTAGTCGTACTGCTCTTGACCTCCGTGTCCCTTGTTGCCCCTGTGCTCCATGCGTGCAGGATCACAATGACAGCAGCAGCAGTGGTGACAGTCCTCTCTAGGTACATGCTGCTCACTCATGCACACCATGAAAGACCGTGCAACAGCAACAGCAGCTTCTTTTTTTTTAATTCTCAAATGAGTCTCCACTCCTCGCTCGCTGCTCCCCTTTTGACTGAGTAATTTAGTTTTTCCTGTTCGCGCTCACCGTTGCTCCTCTGCTCCGGTGAATTTCTGTGAGGACCTCGGATGCTAGACTTGGTGATACGTGTGTTCATGGAATCATGCAAAGCACCCATCAATTTCATGTGTCAGCAAAATCGTCACAACCTGGTCTTCCTCCCCTCCCCGTCTCTACCTCCCTCCCTCCCTCCATTCCCCACGTCCTTCTTTCCCTAATCCGCCAACCTTCACATGACAGTGTGGGCATCCGCATATCAGCTCTGGTTCTGCCTCTCTTCATTGTCACAGCGCTGGCAGGAAAGGTATGCATTGCTGCTCTGCCTTGCTTGCCTGCCATCAACCGCATCTTCACCCCCACCTCCCCCCCCGTTCCCCCCCGTTCCCCCCCCTCCCTTTACCCGTGGATTTTTTTTTCCCTAGCATTACGCGGTGTTGTTCTGCTTGTCACTTGCCAACATTCGCAACACCTCAAAATTGCCCGTTTCAATAATTCGTTATCATACCCAAGTTGCTCCCAATCTAAGGGTAAATTCCTAGCTCGTGTCAGACATCAGGTCATCGGCCCTTAGTCTCTGATTTGTCTCTTTTGAATGTTGATTAGCCCCTATTCTGAACCACTTCAGGTCTTCCGAGCCTCCACTTTGTGGATGACCTGATGTCAGACACTAGCTAGGAATGTACCCTAAGGCTCCAGTGGCTGTATTCCGTCTCTCCCCAAACCCTCAACCCCCCTGCTCCACAGGACTTGTGGCACAACTACTTCGGTGGCTTCTTTCTTTTTGCTGCCCGGCCATTCCGGGCAGGCGACACATTAGCGCTGCACTGCTCGCTCTCTCCCTCAGCGCCAACCACGCCATCAGCGCACGTGTCAGTGGGCACAGGGTGGTTCGAGGGCGTGTGCGAATCAGTGGATCTGCGCTTCACTGTGGTCCGCTCCGGCACGCTCCGTCTCTTTGTGCCCAACGCCCGCTTCCTCTCTCACGAGTTTGTCGTGCTCGATACTTCGCCCCTCAACAAGACGCCTTTCTCTCCTCCACCCGCCTCCTCGCCCACCTTCCCCTCTCGCCGCTCGCCTCCCCCCTCCCCACCTCCGTCACCCACATCACACTCCTCTCTCCTTAGTTTCGCCCCTTCGTTCCCCCGTCGCAAGGCCAACCCCAGCGGGGAAAGGATCACGGTTGCTACTACAGATGCAGGCGGTGCTGCTGGTGCGGCTGAGACACCAGGCATGAAGGAAGGGGTGACACATGCAGGGGCAGGGGCAGTTTCAGGGGCAGGGGCAGGTTCTGGGGAGGGGGCAGGTATAGGGGCATCAAGGAACGCAGAACAGGATGCGAGGAGGAGGGTGGGATCCAATGGAAGCTTGCCTCACCTCCATCGTAACCTCAGCTTGGGAAGGGTGTCTGCTGCTGGTCTCTCCCACCCCCCGCACTCTACCCTCTCATCGCCCCGTGCCCCACCTTCTCCACCTTCTGCCAGCCTCTCCGTTCCCTCAGATGCACCCGGCAGAAGCAGCAGCAGCAGCAGCAGCTGCAGCAGCAGCACAGGCGTGCGGTCTAACCAGGGTGCTGTACCTGGTGGTGACTGGAGCAGTGGAGATGCAGGGGGTGATGGTGGCAACGGCAGCAGCAGCAGCAGCAGTGTGGTTGGTAATGGCGCTGTGAGAAGCAGGCCTGGCGGGTTTGGTGCGAGTGCAGTGGGTAAGAATGGAGTGTCGCCACCACACGAGAAGCAGCATGGGCGAACAGCAGGCAGGCAGACAGCTCGTGAGGGCAATGGGCATGTGGGCACGGGCGGTGCGTGGGGCAGTGGGAGGGATGTGATGGGAGAGGCAGGGGTGGGAAGGGCAGGAGAGGATGAGGAGGAGGAGCTGGATGGGGTAGCTGCTACCCTCGCCACCGGTGCGTCCATCAGCCGGGTGATTGGGCGGAGTGAGAGCAGGAATTATGGGAGCAGCAGCAACGGTAACGGCAACGGAAACGGAAATGGGAATGGCAACGTTAGCAGTACGAGCAAAGATGAGTCTGAGAGTCGCATTTCGGGGGACAGTGACAGCGAGAGTGAGAGTGATGGGGAGGATGACAGTGGGAGTGATAGAGGGTGTGATCCCTGGGAGGAGGACTGTCTTGCTAGCTGGGCAGCACTGGGAGACTTCCCTCCTGGTCCCTTTTCGCCGCCTAAGATGCCTCCACCTCCCCCTTGGGCTCAAGGAGGTAGGTTCAAATTGAAAGGCATGTAGTTTCTAGATTTTTTTTCCCTTTCTTTTTGTAAGGCTACGAAGAGGGATATAGTGCCTTATTTCCCTTCTCAAACATGAGTGTAAAGGGACCTCTGCTAGTTATCAGCTGCGAGCTGCAGAATGTGATTGCCACACCATATGTATTCTCCCTCGTTTTCATATATGTTTTCTATTATTTTTAGCCAGTTGTATTGTACTTCATCGACCTGTCGGTGTAGAGGTTCCCTCAACCCACAGCCGCATCGGCGAATCTCAGCCGTCCGCGTCACGTCAGTCGCGCAGCGTCAGCGGAAGGATTTTGCAGTTCCGCGGATGACCCCTCCAGCTCATCCACAACTGCTTCTTCCAAGCGTTTTTAGGTCGCTATCACTTGTTTCGTTGGATGGCGAAAGCGTGGTAACCTTCAGAGCGCCATGTCGCTGGAGTCTGTTCTGAAGCCCTTGTGCTGTCATTGTTCACTCCCACTTCAGCACTGACGCTCTCTTTCCGCATGCTCCAACGGTCACAAGAGGCACAGCTCAATTTAGGAGCATTCCGCAGCAAGCTACGTCAATCGGAAATTCTTGACGACACTGCGCGCACGTCGTTGATCCCCCATGGCTGCCCTCTCCTCTTCCTTCCTCTCGTCTCCTCTCGCCGGTCGACCCCCTGCTCTCTCCCTCCGTCGTTCGTCCGATCGCGCCTTCAACTCTCCTTCCGCCACTCCCCCCATCCGCGCTGCTGCTCCCTCAGAACGCACCGCCACCAGCGCCACCAGTAGCAGCGCCGTCGAGGCTCCGCTGTCGGCGGTATCTTCCCCGCAGCAGCGTCCGCGCGGGGTCTCCGCGCCGGATGCCTCTCCGCGCAAGCCCGCGTGGCTGCGCCAACGCGCGCCGCAGGGGAAGCGGTACGAGCAGGTGCAGGAGTCGCTGCAAGGGCTGCGACTGAATACCGTGTGCGAAGAGGCCAAGTGCCCTAACATCGGGGAGGTGAGATCACGACGGCCTCTTGAATCCCTGACCGATGTTCCCCCACCTCTCACATAATCTCTTTCGTCACATCCCGCTGAAACCCCCGCATCCTCCGCTATCTCCTACGCACACGCGCACATGCAGATGCACGCACAAGCATACTCGCCCCCCTAAACCCCCGTGCGCGTCCGCCTTTTTTCGTTCCGCGTGTCCGTGCGCGCAGTGTTGGAACGGCGGGCATGGCGACGGCGGCTTGGGCACGGCGACGATCATGCTGCTGGGCGACACCTGCACCAGGGGCTGCCGGTACGCTCGCCCGCCCGCCCGCTCGCTCGCCTGCCCGCTTGCTCGCTCGCCTCGCGTGCTCGCGTCCTTGTGGGCTTGCGAGCGTAATCACGCTCACTCACTCTCCTTAACCCGTTTTGGCCGCTTCTCCTTCCGCCTTCGTCCACCTCTTTCCGCCTCCTATTGCAATCCACTCTCCCCGCCCTTTCTTTCCTTCCATCCCCCTTTTCCCCCGTCCGCTCCCCCCACTCGCCCCCTCCTTTCCCCCTCCCCCTTCCGCGCGCAGCTTCTGCGCCGTGGCGACGAGTCCCACCCCTGCACCGCCCGATGAGAACGAGCCTGAGAACACTGCGAGGGCCATTGCGTCATGGGGGTGAGAGGGGGGGTGGACCGGGTTGGGCTGGGGGCGGTTGGGGTGGCATGATCGGATGGGGTAGGGGTCGCACTCGCACTCGCACTCGCAGAACTCGTCCTCGTTTTCCTATGCTGTTCCTGAATTCGTTTGCTGTCTGGTTCACTCCATGCTCTTCCTTATTCTCGGCTGTTATGCCTGCCCTCCCTCCTCCTCTCTCCCCCTCAGCTTCTCCAACCCTTCCCTCTTCCTCACTATCCCCATGTCTTTCCTTTCAACCCCCTCGCACTGTCCCCCATGCCTTTCTCCCACCGTCCCTCTCCTCCTCTGCCTGTCTCTGCATGGCAGGGTGGGGTACATAGTGCTCACGAGTGTGGATCGGGACGACCTGCCTGATGGCGGAGCCAACCACTTTGTGCGCACGGTCAAGGAGCTCAAGGTACCTACTGCCTGCCCGATGGTGTCCCCATGCACCCCCCACCATCAGTTCCTAGGCCACACTCATTACCGCACACCCATTCAAATTACACAATTCCTATCGCTGTCCCCCGTTTGAGGCCCATACGAGTCTAACTCTTCTGCCGCTCCTCCCACCAGCCCTCCCCATCTCCTTTCATTGTCCTCTGTTTCCCTGCCTCCCTCCTCCCTCCCTCCCTCCCTCTCCCTCCCTCCCACTTTCTCTTCCCCCCTCCTTCCCCCCTCCCTCCCTCCCCCTCTGCTTCCGTCCATTCCTCCCCGTACATCCATCTCTCGTGCTCTCTCCACTGCTATGAGTGCAGGCACTGCGTCCGGACATTCTCGTAGAGTGTCTCGTGTCAGACTTCCGTGGGGACAAGGCGGCAGTGGCAGCGCTCGCCACATCGGGCCTGGATGTCTTTGCAAACAACGTGGAGACCGTCAAGAGACTGCAGCGCTCCGTCAGAGACCCACGCGCCGGGTAACAGCTCTGCTGCTCAGAAACGAGCTTGTTTCCCCTTTGTTTTCTTTGCTGGTTTCTCTCTGAGACGTTTTTCGCCGTTCCCTGCACTCCCCCGCCACCCCTTCTCCCTCCCGTACCCGTTTTCTCCAATGCCTGCTCCCCTCCCCTGGTCGCTTGTTACACAGTTATGAGCAGTCGTTGACTGTGCTACAACATGCGAGGGAGGTGGCTCCCGGCGTGGTAACCAAGTCGTCCATAATGCTGGGGCTGGGAGAGACAGACGAGGAGGTGGCGCAGACAATGAGGGATCTGAGGGATGCAGGGGTGGAGATTGTGACTCTCGGGCAGTACCTGCAGCCCACGCCGATTCACCTGCCCGTGAAGGAGTTTGTCACACCGGCCAAGTTTGATGAATGGAGGCAGTACGGGGAGTCCATTGGTTTCCGATATGTTGCCAGCGGACCTCTGGTAAGTCGAGCTAGCATGTGGTGTGATTTCCTGCATTACCGTCTTGCGTATTTCGTGCTTCTACCTCTTCCCAGCGTTCGGAATATTTTCTTCGCTCCTGTGTTCTCGCTGTTTCCCATTCCATGTTTTCTTTGCTGTTTGTTCTTGACCTTGGTTACTCATTCCAGGTCCGCTCTTCGTATCGAGCTGGGGAGTTTTTTGTGGAGTCAATGCTTCGAAAGAGGCAGCAGGAGGCTGCAGCTACGCACTAACAGGCTTTTTCTAATGTGAATATCTCAAAGGAGAACTCACTTAAAGTGATTTTTCTACTGGTGCCCCGTAATAGTTTTTCTTAGTATTCACTAGTTGGGTAAGGGTAATGTTGTTTACAACAGCGCGTTATAAAGTATATAAAGACATCATCGAGAATGTCTCGCTGATCTCCACGTGTCATCAGTCGCGCCATGAGCTCCTCCAGTATCACAGGATCGCCCGCCCACCGCAAAATTCACCTCGCAGAATCGCATTCTCCCCCACACCTGGCCCCTTCCCAGTGCTGCGCATGCCCCTCCCCTCCCAGCCATCAGTTTTTCCCCTTCCTTTCCACCAGCGCTCCCCTTGTCCATGGTCTGTCCCCTCATCGCCTCGTCGTCCCCCATTTCCCGTAAGTCCCGCCCATCGATCCGACCGAGCCTCACCCCCATCGTCCCTTCCACTCCACACCCCACGCGCGTGGACTGCTCAGTGGTAGCATACAGGTTGTTACAAAAAAAAACCAAACTCGTAACGAGCGACTGAATCACGACGTCTCAACTATCTCACAAGTCACGAGGTCAGGAACGCATCCCAATCCATCCGTTGGGTCTGAAACAGATCTGCACGCGAACTGAAGCTGTGCTGTTGCGGTTGCCTCCTGCTTCAGATTGCGTTGGCATCTTCGCGTCTCCTCACAAACCGGCCTTCAGAAGGCACGATCAGAAAGACTGACACCACGTTTCAGAAAGCTGCCGCTTACGGATCAGAAGTCGTAACGTCAGGAGTGTAGGATTCGAGTGCAATAAGCAGTGAGCGATGCTGGCAACTATCCCTGGAGCCGCACCCCTTTCTTCCAATCTGTTCTTCTCCGCATCCATCGCTGGATCCGCCTCCCACGCGTCACTCCATCCCGTCCCGACTCCGCTCTCTGCGCCTCTTAATCCCGTTGCCTATCCTTGTTCTTGCTCTTCCCACCTCGTCACCTCCCGTCGGCCACCGCGCGATCGTGCAGCGAGCAACTCCATCTCCCCGTCTTGTCGTTCCCCTTTCGTATTCGCATCTCAGCCGCACAATCAGCCATCTCCTTCTGTCCGGCAGTCGCCGCTGTCGCTGCGCTCTCGTTTATCTGGCGGCCCTTCGTCCATGCACCCACGTGTCCCACAAGTTGCGTCGCTGCACCTTCACGCTGAACCCATCCAGCCGAAAGAATCACAGCAGGATAGTGTAGGGCTAGGACCTGGACCAGTATCGGAATCGGAAACTCGTAATCAAGACTCGTCTGACCCGCCGTGCTCGTGTTCTGAACGTATGGCTCCCCTCTCCGCAACCCACTCGGCGGACTGCCCAACCTTGTCTGCGTCGGGACCTCCTCCCGCTGACGGCGCCGCGTCAGAATCCGTTCCGGGCATAAACGACGACCTTCTGGTCCACAAAGGGTCGTCTTTACCAAAATCCGCTCCCACGTTTTCCGCAATTTCGTATCTCCCCCCGCGTCGATCCGCTGCTTCCGCCAGCCAAACCTCCGTTTCCACGAAACCGTCTCCCCCCGCTACCGACGCTTCCCTCTCGGGATCGCCGAGGAGCGACAGTATGGCACCTGGTGCGATAGACTACTCGCATCTGCCGTCGGATCTGGACCCGAGCCGGCTGCCGAGACACGTGGCTATTATCCTGGATGGGAACTCGCGGTGGGCGACGCGCAGGGGGTTGCCTAAGATGATGGGGCACGACGCGGGGGTGAACTCTGTTAGGGAGACGGTGCGGCTGTGCGGGGAGTGGGGCATTCGCGCGCTCACTGTGTTCGCGTTTTCAACGGAGAATTGGGGACGGCCTCAGGTACGCACGTGGCAAATAATATGGTTCCCTGGTGTGACGTGTACGGATGTGGAAGTTGGCGAATGCCACGTAGGCAGGACGTGTTGTGACACGTGAGGGATTGCTAATGACGGCCGAGGGAAGTTACGATTTCCTAATTTTTGTATCCAGCCTTGCCTTCTAGAATCACTTAAACACAAAACCGGGAAAAAAAAACAAATTTGGTTTTTTTGTATGGTGCGGTTCGCCCACACCTCCCCTCACACTCCTTCCCTGCATTCACTACTCCACTTCCCTCGTCCTTTCCCCTAAAGCACCAGCGGTTGTGTCCCTTCGGACCCGCCTTTCCTACCTCGAATTCCTCCTTTTCCACACACCCACCTACTCCGGAACTTCCAATTCATTATTCATATCTACGAGAGAGAAGCCCTGGTTACAATGAAAAGGGAACCTCAGCGCAGGCCGTTGTGCTATGCTGCCCCTAGCCGTTTCACTCCTCACCTCCACTACTTTCCTCGTTTACCTGCCCTCTTGGTGCCTTGCCTGTGTGCATATGTTGGGGGAATGGACGGGGATGGATGCATGAGCAGGAGGAGGTTGATTTCATCATGGGGTTGTTGGCCACCCTGTTTGATAATGAGCTCGATGATCTTCACAGGTATGCCCACAACTATCGACAACCCTTCCGAACCATTTCTCTCATCACCCACGGCTCGAACTATTATTTTCTTCCTCGTACGTGCAGCCTATCCTGTTTTTTTTTCTTATATGGCCAGATGCAGTTTGCTTGCAAGAACCATTGCAGCTACACTTGCTCTATCACTGACATAAGGCAAATGAATCAACCTCGAGTTTCCTGCCTATATCCACTGCTGCTCCATTCTGTGCTCTCAGGAATCGGGTGGCAGTGCGTGTGATTGGTGATAGATCACGCCTCAGCCCTGAGCTGCAGCGCAAGATAGAGGCTGCACACGTCCGCACACAGAATAATGACGGGTTGCGTTATAGCATAGCAATGAGCTACAGTGGCCGCCTAGATATAGTGCAGGCGTGCAGGAGAGTCGCAGAGCGAGTGTCTGCCGGTGAGCTCCAACCCGATCAGATTTCTGAAGCCACTTTAGAACAAGAGCTTTCAACGAGTTGGCTCGGACCGGACCTGGCTAACCCTGACCTGCTGATTCGAACGAGTGGGGAGCTGCGGCTGAGCAACTTTCTCATGTGGCAGTCGGCTTACACGGAGCTCTACTTCTGTGACACTCTCTGGCCCGACTTTGGCGCGCCCCACCTGCATGCGGCAATCCTTGACTACCAGCAACGAGATCGCCGCTTTGGTAGGCGCAAGGAGTCCAGCTGAAAGGGTGACATAAGCATTTACGGCTGTCTGCTGTGGTCGGTTTTTCAACTTACTATGTGTCCTCCAGCTGGATGGAGTGCTGTGCTGAGGCTTGTGTTTCAAAGGATTTTCACTCAGTTTGTTTCTTGAAAAATAGTGTAAGTAGTTAATTTTCTTACAGCATGAACAGCGCCATTCAAGCCACCAATGTCGGAACAAGGTCGAACGGTTCTGTTACAGGGTGGTGCTTGGGACGGCTCTCTCCCCCCCTAACCAGATGAAAGGATCCAACCAATCGTAGAGCTCTGTTCGGTGCAAGATCTTCGTTACTGTACAGTAGCAAGCACTGTTTGCCGATGTAACCTCCGGCCAAACGAAGCGAGCGATGACGGATAACCACTGCTGATGTGGGATGGGGTTAGGGCGGATCAATTTCGTTCGTTTGAATACGGCTTTATGAGGCTTGTCACGGTGTAGAACGGTATAATAATTTATTATGAAAATGAAAGCGTTTCGACAAAGCCCCCCCTTTCCGCTTGTCCGATATCCGTTCCCGCATTTGAAAACAGCCTGCCTAGGAAGAAGCAGTTTCGCCATCAATTTACAGTTTCATGTCCGCCCTCCCCTTCCTCTCCTGTACTGTATATGCGTGTGCAATGTGCTCTCTAATTTACCTCCAACCTCTCCAGTTTCATGCTTTCTTTGTGTCCGAAGTCGGGGTTACTATGTGGGAGCTTTCAAGGTCCAAGTAGCATTTCGATGAACGCAGGACTCCGTGCTATTGTTTGCGCCCATGACTCCTTTCTCCGCATCCACTTCTGCCATTCGCGGTCCGTCGGACTTCCCTCACGACGGAGCTTTGTCGGAATCTGCTTCGAAACTTAACGATGCGCTTCAGACTGTTCTTGCGAACAAATTTGTCCCCAGCACGCCGTCGTCAAAATCCGAAATTACAGAAACGCAACTACTATCCGCGATGCCTTACCTTCCCCCGCGCGATTCCACAGCTTCCGCCGATGTTTCCCCGCGGGATACCGCTTCGAAAGCGTCTCCCTCCGCTACCTGTACCCCGTCGACACCCCCAACAAGCGCCGAGAGTGCCTCTGGACCAAACGAAATAGACTACTCGCAGCTGCCGTCCGATTTGGACCCGAGCCGCCTGCCGAGACACGTGGCAATCATCCTTGATGGGAACTCGCGGTGGGCGACGCGCAAGGGGATGCCTAGGATGCTGGGGCACCTGGGGGGAGTGAATGCGCTGAGCGACGCTGTGCGACGATGCAGCGACTGGGGCATTCGCGCGCTCACCGTGTTCGCATTCTCCACCGAGAATTGGAACCGGCCCGAGGTAGTAGCGTGACGCTGCGTGGGTTAGCATACGCACATAGTTTGGTAGTGGGCGTCGGAACTGGGTGCTTTTATCCGTGATTTCCTGTTTGGGTGCAAACAATAACAGTAGTGAATTCCTGTTCTCATTTCTGTGTTCATACAGATTCGTTGATAGCTGGGAAATTGTTGAACAAGGATGAAAAATGGTTTTTTGTACTGATGATGCACCGTGAACCACAGACATTGGACAAATTTCAATTCCATGACTTCATACCTGGTCATTCCTGTTGCTACCATCCTCAACACCCGGCCCCATCCTTTATTTTTCTTCTGCCTCCTGGCTTCTTGCGTGTCCGGGTGAGTGGGGAGGGGGGTGTTTGAACAGGCGGAGGTTAATTTTTTAATGTCGATGATGAGCAGGCTGTTGGTTGAGAAGCTGGATGAGCTGCACAGGTATGGGCTGTCTTTGATGTCTTGTCTTTCAGGCATTGTCATTATGTCTGGTCTCCCATGTCTACACCCACTGATGTTCTGATGTTGCATCCCACTGTTGATGCATCCCTTCACTCCCATTGTCTACCCCCTTTTTTTATGTTCTCGACTCAGTCAAGGAGCAGTGGTGCGCTTTATAGGCAACATATCAGGACTAGACCCTGAGTTGCAGCATAGAATCCAAGTTTTACAAGACACGACACGGGACAATCTCGGACTGCATTTTTCTGTATCCTTGAATCACAGTGGCCGTCAGGACATAGTGCATGCGTGCCAGCGGGTAGCAGAGCGAGTGGCAGCTGGCGAGCTCCAGCCTGAGCAGATCTCAGAGTCTCTAGTAAGCGAAGAGCTTTCAACAAGCTGGCTCGGACCGGACCTGGCTAACCCTGACCTGCTGATTAGGACGAGTGGGGAGCTGCGGCTGAGCAACTTTCTGCTGTGGCAGTCGGCTTACACGGAGCTCTACTTCTGTGACACTCTCTGGCCCGACTTTGGGGCGCCCCACCTGCATGCGGCGCTCCTTGACTACCAGCGACGAGACAGGCGCTTCGGTAGGCGCAAGGAGTCTGGCTAGCTAAGTAGAGTGATGAAGATTTGGGGAGAAGGTATTTTGGTTCTTTCTTTGTAATATCTGGAATATACGAGGGGGAAGGTGCCCTTTTTATTAATCAACCAAGCCTTACATGTACCCATGCTTGTTACCGGATAGGAAATACATTTTACTTTGGTGGGGTAAACATTCTAAAAAACGGATTGTTAAAATAGCGGTCCCCATTTGCCATAAACACCGCATCTCTCTGCACTACTCACAGCCCATTCCACTGCGGCAGATCCTCAGAGGTCAGACTTTCAGAATGGCCTCCCTTGAAAGGCCGCAGCACATGGTGATGAAACAGCTGGTCAGCACCTGGGTAGAATCACTACACATCGTTGCAGGCTGCGCAGAACCCAAGGTTCGATCGCCCTGGGGATTGGTGTTTTCCCCCGACTCGGTCGTGGCTCTGTGCGGTGATGTTTACATTAGCGGGGATGCGATTCGGTGGCGAGTCAACTGTGAGAAGCTTGTGTCGTAGTACAAGTAAAGCGTGGAACATCGTGGAAAATAACCAAAGGCATGGAACCGAAACCGTACGGTTGCAGTTGCCTTGCCCGCTGCTTCAGTTTTTGTGTTGGGACCTTCTGGTCTGGGTCAGCTCAGAGCCGTCCTTTAGGAAGCAGGATGCTTCTCCAGTAGTGTAGATATCGAGGGCAACGAGCGGTGAGCAATGCTGGCAACTATCCCTGAAACCGCACCCCTCTCTTCCGATCTGCTCTTCTCCGCATCCATCGCTACCTCCACCTCCACGCGTCACTCCATCCCGTCCTGATCCCTGTGCCTTTTAAAGCGTGCACATTTGCCACCCAAAACCCAGAACCCTGGCGAACTGTTACTGCGGATGGAAAGTGTCCGCACGAAATCCTGGTTTTCGCCAGCCAGCACTTTCGCGCTGGCAAGCCTGGTTCAAAAAAAAAACTTCTGAACCCAACACTGCCAAAAGTTGCCCGTCGCTTTAATCCAGTTGCGTATCCTTCCTTTTTCTCTTCCCATTTTCCCCTCTTCTCGCTCATTCGCATCCCAGCCGCACGATCAGCCATCTCCTCTGTCCAGCAGTCGCCGCCGTCGCTACGCTCTCTACTACCTGACGGCCCTTCGTCCATGCACCCACGTGTCCCACAAGTCGCGTCGCTGCAGCTTCACGCTGAACTCATTCAGCCAAAAGAAATACATCAGGATAGTGCAGGGCTACTAGGACCGGGACCAGTATCAGAATCATTTAGTAGTAATGAAAAATCTTCTGACCCGCCATGCTTCTGGACGTATGGCTCCCCTCTCCGCATTCCCGGCTGCGAGTCCAGTGTCGTCTGACTGTCCACCCTTGTCCGCATCTGGACCTCCTCAAGCTGACGGCGCCGCGTCAGAACCCGTTCCTAGCATCAACGACGGTTTAGTCAACAGCGGGTCGTCTTTACCCAAACCCGCTCCCACCGTCAACGTGACGTTTTCCGCAATGCCGTATCTCCCCCCGCGCCGATCTGCTGCTTCCGCCAGAGACTCCGCCGTCTCCACGAAACCGTCTCCCCCCTTCACCGACGCTTCCCTCTCGGGACCGTCGCGGAGCGACAGTATGGCACCTGGAGAGATAGACTACTCTCAGCTGCCGTCCGATTTGGACCCGAGCCGGCTGCCGAGACACGTGGCAATCATCCTGGATGGCAACTCGCGGTGGGCGACGCGCAGGGGGTTGCCTAAGATGCTGGGACACGATGCGGGGGGGAGATCTCTCAGAGAGACGGTGCGGCTGTGCGGAAATTGGGGCATTCGCGCGCTCACTGTGTTCGCGTTTTCGGCGGAGAACTGGGGACGGCCTCAGGTACGCACGGGGCAGACAATGCGGTTCCCTGGTGTGACCTGTACGGATGTGGAAGGTGGCGAATGCCACGTAGGCATGCCGTGTTGTGACGTGCGCACGTGAGGGAATGCTAACGACAGCCGAGATGACCTTGAAGTTACGATTTCCAAATATTTCTTCAGGTTCCTTCCTTTCCCTGCTGTGGCGACGCCCGTGGTAATTCTTATCCGGATTTGCGTTCTAGAATTCTTGAAATATTGGGTTTATTTATAGTGTGGTTTGCGCACACTTCCCCTCGCCCTCCTTCCCTGCATTCCCTACATCCTCTTCCCTCGTCCTTTCCCCCCATAGAACCAGCCGTTTTGTCCCTTCAGTCCCGCCTTTCCGCCTCTCGTCTCCCTCTTTTGCCACAGACTTACCTACTCTGCAACTGCCAGCAAATCATTCAGGACCTACGAGAGAGAAGCCCTGGTTCCCCTCAGCGCAGGCCGCTGTGGCATGTTGCCCCTAGCCGTATCACTCCACATCCACACTACTTTCCTCCTTTGCCTGCCCCCTTGGCACCTTGCTCGTGTCGATGTATGTGGGGGGAATGGACGGGGATGGATGCATGGGCAGGAGGAGGTCGATTTTATCATGGAGTTGTTGGCCACCTTCTTTGATGAAGACCTGGAGGATCTTCACAGGTGCACATAACTATTGACAACCCTTCTAAATCTGGTCTCCTATGTGTTATTTTCCTTTCTTCCTTGTCCGTGCAGCCTATCCTGTTTTTTGGTTGATGGCCAGATGCAGTTTGCTTGCAACAACCACAGTACCTACACTTGCTCTGTCGCTAATGTAAAATAAATAAATCAAAATTGACTTCCCTGCCTAAATCCTCTGGTGCTCCGTTCTGTGTTCTCAGGAATCGGGTGGCAGTGCGTGTGCTTGGTGATAGATCACGCTTCAGCCCTCAGCTGCAGGACAAGATAGAAGGGGCACAGGTCCTCACACAGAATAACGACGGGTTGCGTTATAGCATAGCAATGAGCTACAGTGGCCGCCAAGATATAGTGCAGGCATGCAGGAGAGTCGCAGAGCAAGTGGCAGCTGGTGAGCTCAAACCCGGTCAGATTTCTGAAGCCATTTTGGAACAAGAGCTTTCAACGAGTTGGCTCGGACCGGACCTGGCTAACCCTGACCTGCTGATTCGGACGAGTGGGGAGCTGCGGCTGAGCAACTTTCTCATGTGGCAGTCGGCTTACACGGAGCTCTACTTCTGTGACACTCTCTGGCCCGACTTTGGGGCGCCCCACCTGCATGCGGCGCTCCTTGACTATCAACGACGAGACCGGCGCTTCAGTAGGCGCAAAGAGTCTAGCTAGTAACTAGATCGAGTTATGGAGATTGGGGAAAGAAGCACGATATGTATGTTGGTTCAATCATGATGTCAATTTTGATGCATAAATGGAGAACGGTTCAGGTGTGCTTATCCATGGTTTCGGTGTACCTGTTCTTACAGCACAAACAGCAGTTGCCGTACTGGAGTCTGGTTGGAATGGTGTATTGCTAATAGATGATAATATGCCGGTTACGTGAGCAACGTGGTGAAACCGAGTGTGTTTAGATAGAATTAATTAAGTAACCATCAATATCGGAACAAGTCCCAGCCATGCCACATGGAATTTTCTCCAACTTCACAATCAACGAAATCTAACCTGCTCAATCCCAAACATGTAGGTATCACCCTTCAGATATCATAACAAGGAAATGGAATGAAAGGAGGTGTTTCAACCACCATGTGTGACAGAATAGCAGTATGCGTTTGCGTTTATGTACCCTAGATTCTGGTCATAGCAACGCAAGGGGTCCATGAACATGGAGGTGCTGTTACATTATTTGTTGGTTTGGGCGAGGAGGTGATCTGGGGTGCATTTGGTTTTGAAACTCTCAGGTCCGGGTACATCGTTGCTTGAGAGGAATGCTGATGCCTACATCGTTCGACGGCCTGATTGCGAAAAACTGTCTCAAGGTTTCTAACAAGGCAGCCACTCAAGTCTACTTGTATTTATGGGTGTTAAATGATAAGTACTGGATATACTAGCCCTAGCACCCATGACACAGCTGTGCCGTGATCCTTCCTGAGCTGTCCAGAAGCACGTGTGAATCTGGCTGTCCAGTTGCTGTCTTTCCACATGCGTCAAATTCCTCTTATTCGCCAAGACCCCTGCGTTGTCACGCAATCAACCAGGGAGGAAAGCCTGACTTGATTTCCAGTTCATTTTCCACGTCGAGGCTGCATACGTGGGGCCAGAAATATGAAAATCACTGGTTTCGAGGAGATAAGCTGCCACCGGCTCGTGTGAAGATATTTGTTCCACCAAGAAGGTGACGGAATTCCGATCTGTTGTATCCAGCAAAGCAGGGTCAACGGCGTCACTTGCTGTGCGAGGCAGGGTCTCCCAACGCGTCGCGGCAACGAAGCAGGTCCGGTGGCGTCTGTCTGATCCGTGCCTCGTTTGAACGAGGCCCCGTGAAGCCGACGGTCCGGGCTGTTGCTAAACAGTAGCACTTGGGATTTCACCTGTCTGCTTCATCTCACACTGCGCCCAAACCAGAGGAGTGAAGGTTTGGTTCCGACGAGATGGTTCGGTTGTGTTCGCTGCCCGGCCGAGGCTCCGATCTGCCCCCAAAGAGCTCTTTGGGTGTGACACCGATCTCCCCTGCCCCCAAAGGTCACACACACCCAACCAGGGGAGCGCAGCGCACCACCACCATTTCCGCTGCTTCTCTGACTCACCATCATATTGCCACTCACATCAGAGCGGCTGTCAGTCACTTTCTGTCCGATTCGCAGATGGTTATTTCTTCCAGCTCGTGTTGTGAAATCTCTCGCCATCACCATTGACTCTTGTTCCCTCACCTTCGCAGTTGGTCATTCCTTCATCTGCGTCCCTTTCCGTCTGTCTAACCTCCCGTTGGTTGTCAAATCGTGCACGACCGTCGCGATGGCTGCAATACTAGAGGCGTCGCTTGCCGCAACAACCCTGTCCGCCATCGCCCGCCCGCCACTCTCCACCAGCTTCATCCACACGGAACGCACGGCGTCGCTGCCGTCCCTCACCACCGCGCTCCGAGCTAGCCGATTCAGCAAACGAACCCATGGCATCGCCGTGCGTCCCGCTGCTTCCTCCTCTTCCTC